TCCTAGCCCTCTCTTAGGCCTTTCCTGGACCCTCTCCTAGACCTCTCCTAGCCCTCTCCTGGCCCTCTCCTAGCCCTTTCCTAGACCTCTCCTAGCCCTCTCCTAGACCCTCTCCTAGCCCTCTCCTAGACCTCTCCTAGCCCTCTCCTAGCCCTCTCCTAGCCCTCTCCTAGCCCTCTCCTAGACCCTCTCCTAGACCCTCTCCTAGACCTCTCCTAGCCCTCTCCTAGCCCTCTCCTAGACCCTCTCCTAGCCCTCTCCTAGACCTCTCCTAGACCTCTCCTAGCCCTCTCCTAGACCTTTCCTAGACCTCTCCTAGACCTCTCCTAGACCTCTCCTAGCCCTCTCCTAGACCTCTCCTAGACCCTCCCCTAGCCCTCTCCTAGCCCTCTCCTAGACCTCTCCTAGCCCTCTCCTAGCCCTCTCCTAGACCCTCTCCTAGCCCTCTCCTAGACCCTCTCCTAGACCTTTCCTAGACCTCTCCTAGCCCTCTCCTAGACCTCTCCTAGACCTCTCCTAGACCTCTCCCAGACCTCTCCTAGACCTCTCCCAGACCTCTCCCAGCCCTCTCCTAGCCCTCTCCTAGCCCTCTCCTAGCCTTCTCCTAGACCTCTCCCAGCCCTCTCCTAGCCCTCTCCTAGACCTCTCCTAGACCTCTCCTAGACCTCTCCTAGACCTCTCCTAGACCTCTCCTAGCCCTCTCCTAGCCCTTTCCTAGACCTCTCCTAGACCCTCTCCTAGACCCTCTCCTAGCCCTCTCCTAGCCCTCTCCTAGACCTCTCCCAGCCCTCTCCTAGCCCTCTCCTAGACCTCTCCTAGCCCTCTCCTAGACCTCTCCTAGGCCTCTCCTAGGCCTCTCCTAGACCTCTCCTAGACCTCTCCTAGACCTCTCCTAGACCTCTCCTAGACCTCTCCTAGACCTCTCCTAGGCCTCTCCTAGGCCTCTCCTAGACCTCTCCTAGACCTCTCCTAGCCCTCTCCTAGCCCTTTCCTAGACCTCTCCTAGACCCTCTCCTAGCCCTCTCCTAGCCCTCTCCTAGACCTCTCCCAGCCCTCTCCTAGCCCTCTCCTAGCCCTCTCCTAGCCCTCTCCTAGACCTCTCCTAGGCCTCTCCTGGACCTTTCCTAGACCTCTCCTAGACCTCTCCTAGCCCTCTCCTAGACCTCTCCTAGCCCTCTCCTAGGCCTCTCCTAGGCCTCTCCTAGCCCTTTCCTGGACCCTCTCCTGGACCTCTCCTAGACCCTCTCCCAGCCCTCTCCTGGACCTCTCCTAGACCCTCTCCCAGCCCTCTCCTAGACCTCTCCTAGACCTCTCCTAGACCTCTCCTAGACCTCTCCTAGACCTCTCCTAGACCTCTCCTAGGCCTCTCCTAGGCCTTTCCTAGACCTCTCCTAGACCTCTCCTAGACCTCTCCTAGACCCTCTCCTAGACCTCTCCTAGACCTCTCCCAGACCCTCTCCCAGCCCTCTCCTGGACCTTTCCTAGACCTCTCCTAGACCTCTCCTAGCCCTCTCCTAGCCCTCTCCTAGACCTCTCCTAGCCCTCTCCTAGGCCTCTCCTAGGCCTCTCCTAGCCCTTTCCTGGACCCTCTCCTGGACCTCTCCTAGACCCTCTCCCAGCCCTCTCCTGGACCTCTCCCAGCCCTCTCCTGGACCTCTCCTAGACCCTCTCCCAGCCCTCTCCTGGACCTCTCCCAGCCCTCTCCTGGACCTCTCCTAGACCCTCTCCCAGCCCTCTCCTGGACCTCTCCCAGCCCTCTCCTGGACCTCTCCTAGACCTTTCCCAGACCCTCTCCTGGACCTCTCCCAGCCCTCTCCTAGCCCTCTCCTAGACCTCTCCTAGACCTCTCCTAGACCTCTCCTAGACCTCTCCTAGACCTCTCCTAGACCCTCTCCCAGCCCTCTCCTGGACCTCTCCCAGCCCTCTCCTGGACCTCTCCTAGACCCTCTCCCAGCCCTCTCCTAGACCTCTCCCAGCCCTCTCCTAGCCCTCTCGTTCGACCAGGCCAAGCCCAAGCTGGCCGAGCTCGCGAGGCTGGAGGACTTCTTCGAGGCGAGCCGACTCCGGGGGCGGTCGTTCACAGCCGTGAAGACAGCCTGTTCACACCTGCGGCTGTGAACAGGCGACGCGCGTCGAGGCGGTCGTGCTCTCAGCGACCGACTTCAAGTGCAAGCGCGTGCCCGACGAGCCGCTCCCCCCGAGCCCGTTGGCAGCGAGTGCGGCGCGACTCATCACTGCGGCGCACTCGCCCCAACCTAGGCGCGTGCTCGACGAGCTCTCCCTCGTGTCCGAGGCGATGGCGCTGCGGCGCAAGTTCACCGCGCCGCGCGAGCGCAAGCCGCAGCCGCCGCTACCGAGTCATCCAAGCCGCGAGGAGGTAGTTAAGCACGGGTGGGAGGCGCTCTGGCACCACCGCGCCGGCGACTCCCTCTCCGAGGGCACGGACGGCGAGGCGTTTGCGCACGAGCTGTACCGGCACGGCTGGGACAGGCAGACGGAGCTGGAGGGCTGCACCGGCCCGTCCTCGACCTGTCCTGAACCTTTCCTGGACCGCTCCTGGACAGGCAAAAGGAGCTGGACGGCTGCAACGACCCGTCGGGCCACGGCAGCGTGCGGCAGGTGGGCCTCGCCGCCTCGGTTCACAGCTGCAGGTGTGAACAGCGCCTCTTCACAGCTGCACGGCTGCGTGCGCGGCAGGCGGACCTCGCCGCCTCCGACGAGCGGCCTGCGGGCTGGAAGCCCTTCTCGGCGCCCCACCGAGCCGCGCAGCACGCTGCCCTCGCGCGTGGACGGCGTCTGTTCACACCTCCCGCCGTGACCGCAGGTTCATTTTGCCGATGAGACGCTGTTCACACCTCTGTTCACACCTCCTCTGTTCACACCTCCCGCCGTGACCGCAGGTTCACTTTGCCGATGAGACGCTGCCGCGCATGTGGGCGGTGAGGCCGGCGGCGCGCGCGGAGCTGCCGGACCTCACGCCGACGCAGTGCATCGCGCTGGCGCTCGCGCGGCACGTGCAGGTCGAGATCTGGGGAGATGCTGGGGAGATGTGGGGGGGTCTAGAGGCACGTGCAGGCGCTGAGTCGTCGAGAGATGCCCCGAGGGTCCCCAGGGCTCCCCGAGAAGCCCCGAGGTTCGCCGAGGTTCCCCAGGGTTCCCCGAGATGCCCCGAGGTTCGCCGAGATGCCCCGAGGTTCGCCGAGAAGCCCCGAGGTTCGCCGAGGTTCCCCAGGGTTCCCCGAGATGCCCCGAGGTTCGCCGAGGTTCGCCGAGAAGCCCCGAGGTTCGCCGAGATGCCCCGAGGTTCGCCGAGGTTCGCCGAGAGTCCTCGAGAGTCGCCGAGCTTCCCCGCGGCCGGGGTTCACATGAGATGCCGCGAGGGCGAGATCGCGGCGAGATTTGCGGTCGCCTCTCTCCCTCGCAGGACCCGTTCGAGTCCGTCTGCCACATGCTCTCCCCCTCCGGGCTCGAGCTGACGCAGCTGCCTCTCTCGCCGCTGGTCGGCGAGCTGCCCGAGCCGCTGCTGCGCGCCGCTCTCTCGGCGATGACGACCGGACGCGACCCGCGAGCGAGGGGGGGGGAGGGGGGCGAGGTCACGCGAGATGTGCGCGAGAGTAGGCGGAGCTGGTGGACGCGACTTGCCAGCGGGGCGTCTCCGTCCTCGAGGCGCTCACACACCCGCACCGCGGGGCAGGAACCTTCTAGGAACTTTCTAGGAGCCTTCTAGGAGCCTTCTAGGCGCTCACGCACCCGCACCGCGGCGCAGCCCTCCAGTTCGTCCCAGGGCTCGGACCGCGCAAGGCGATGCCGCACCGCCCACGGGACCGAACCCACACCGGGGTCGACCGCTCTGAGGGGGGGGGGGGGTGCGGTACTAGGCCGCCGCGCTGCGCCGCGAGCTGCTGGCACGGCGCGCGCAGGGCGGGAAGCACGAGATCACGAGCCGGGACGGGCTGCACGAGCTGCTCGGGCCTTGTGTGTGGGCAAACGCGGTGGGCTTCCTCGAGCCTGCGCCTCAAGGACGGCCCTGCTGTGAATGGCGTCTCTTCACACCTGCAGCTGTGAGCAGGTGGGCTTCCTCAAGTTTGAGCCGCCTCGCGAGCCCGGCGAGCCGCGGCCGCCCCGCCCCCCCCCGGCCTCGGCTGCAAGGACGTCGTTCCTAGACGGCGGCCTGTGTTTCTTTTGTCTAGGCGAGCCGCGGCAGCCCCCCCCAGCCTCGGCTGCAAGGACGTCGTTCCTAGACGGCGGCCTGTGTTTCTTTTGTCTAGGCGAGCCGCGGCAGCCCCCCCCAGCCTCGGCTGCAAGGACGTCGTTCCTAGACGGCGGCCTGTGTTTCTTTTGTCTAGGCGAGCCGCGGCAGCCCCCCGGGCTCGACGGGATGCGAATCCACCCGGACGACTACCGTTTCGCGCGCAAGATGTGAGCACCGCACCGCCCACGCGGGACCGACCTCCCCGCACCGGGCTCGGTACCATGGGAGGCGCGGTACCAGGTGCCTCGACGCGATGACCGACGTGGATGCCGAGGAGGAACCGGAGACGCCCGAGCGGCTCGCCGCCGCCGTCGACGTGGCCATGCGCGCGCCAAACCTGGCGCAGATCATGGACGAGCTCGAGCTACTTCTCGGACCGCTCCTGGACCTTTCCTGGAACCTTCCTGCAGGCGCAGATCATGGACGAGCTCGAGCTGCTTCTCGGACCGTTCCTAGACCTTTCCTGGAGCCTTCCTGCAGGCGCAGATCATGGACGAGCTCGAGCTGCTTCTCGGACCGTTCCTAGACCTTTCCTGGAGCCTTCCTGCAGGCGCAGATCATGGACGAGCTCGAGCTACTTCTCGGACCGTTCCTAGACCTTTCCTGGAACCTTCCTGCAGGCGCAGATCATGGACGAGCTGGAGCTGACGGACTACAACGACTACCTGCACAACCAGGCGGGGGGGGGAGGACTCCATGAGTGAGTGAATCAGTTCATGAGAGACTGACAGCGGCTGGGCTGCGCAAGCAGGAGGGGGAGAAGTACATGCTGTCCACGCTCACCGACCTGCGGGTGGAGCTGCTGCACCCGTTCCAGGACAAGCGCGGCGACTGGTCCTCCCTCTGGGAGCACGGCCCGCTCGACAAGGAGCGGCTCCTCGAGCTCCTCTCCGCGTGAGGAATGGAGGCGTGGACTCACCCCCTCTTCCTTGACGACTAGGAGCGGCTCTTCGAGCTCCTCACCGCCGAGACGCTCAGCACGCTGCATGGGGACGACTACGACGTGCACGAGATCTACCCGCCCGGCCACCCGCACGCGGGCGAGCCGTCGCTGCTGCTGCGCGAGGGGAGGAGCCGTCTCCGAACCTTCTACGAACCTTCTACGAACCTTCTAGGCGAGCCGCTGCTGCTGCGCGGCGGCACGCTCGCGCAGGCGGCCACCGTGCGGCCGGACAACCTAGAGGGCTCCTAGAGGGTGCGTAGAAGGTGCGTAGAAGGTTCCGAGAAGGTTCCTCATCGCGCAGGCGGCCATCGTGCGGCCGGACAACCGCGGCCTCAAGGACGGGCAGATGCAGTTCCACATCCGGCTGCAGTGCGGCGTCACGGGCACCAGCTAGTCCAGGAGGAGGGCGTGTCGCCGTGAGGCCGCGTCTCTTCACACCTCCGGCTGTGAACAGGCACCATCCAGGAGGAGGACTTCTCCGACCAGAGGCGGCTGCCCCGCCGCGACGGCGCGGGCGGGCCAGAGGTCGTGATGCCGGTGCACGAGGGGCAGCTGTGAACAGCGTCTCTTCACACGTGTTGCTGTGAACAGGTCGTGATGCCGGTGCGCGAGGGGCAGCTGTGAACAGCGTCTCTTCACACCCGTTGCTGTGAACAGGTCGTGATGCCGGTGCGCGAGGGGCAGCTGTGAACAGCGTCTCTTCACACCCGTTGCTGTGAACAGGTCGTGATGCCGGTGCGCGAGGGGCAGCTGTGAACAGCGTCTCTTCACACCTGCAGCTGTGAACAGGTCGTGATGCCGGTGCGCGAGGGGCAGCTGTGAACAGCGTCTCTTCACACCCGTTGCTGTGAACAGGTCGTGATGCCGGTGCGCGAGGGGCAGCTGTGAACAGCGTCTCTTCACACCCGTTGCTGTGAACAGGTCGTGATGCCGGTGCGCGAGGGGCAGCTGTGAACAGCGTCTCTTCACACCTGCAGCTGTGAACAGGTCGTGATGCCGGTGCGCGAGGGGCAGCTGTGAACAGCGTCTCTTCACACCCGTTGCTGTGAACAGGTCGTGATGCCGGTGCACGAGGGGCAGCTGTGAACAGCGTCTCTTCACACCCGTTGCTGTGAACAGGTCGTGATGCCGGTGCGCGAGGGGCAGCTCATCTCGGCGCGCGGCACGCCGCCCAGCCGGGCTGTGAACGGCGTCTCTTCACACCTGCCGCCGCGAGCAGGTGCGCGTCAAGACGCTCAACTTGGTCGACCACACCTGCACCGCCACGTGCGCCGGCAAGGAGCTGCAGCGCGCCGAGTACATGACCCTAGCGCAGGAGCGCGCAAAGGCGGCGGCCGAGGAGGCGGCCAAGCGGAGCGGGGGGCGCGTGCTCTCGCGCGGCGACAGCCAGCCCCGCTGTGAACGGCGTCTCTTCACACCTCTTGCTGTGAAGTAGGCCCGTGCTCTCGCGCGGCGAGTTTGTCAAGCGGCGGGTCGGGCACCCTCAGTTCAAGAACGGGACGCGCGAGCAGGAGAGCGCGCCCTCTCCTAGCCTTCCCCTAGCCCTCTCCTAGACCCTCTCCTAGACCCTCTCCTAGCCCTCCCCTAGCCCTCTCCTAGACCCTCTCCTAGACCTTTCCTAGACCTCTCCTAGACCTCTCCTAGACCCTCTCCTAGACCTTTCCTAGACCTCTCCTAGACCTCTCCTAGACCCTCTCCTAGACCTTTCCTAGCCCTCTCCTAGCCCTCTCCTAGCCCTCTCCTAGCCCTCTCCTAGACCTCTCCTAGACCTCTCCCAGACCTCTCCCAGACCTCTCCTAGATCTGGACGCGCGAGCTGGAGCGCGGTGCCCTTGCTTCCTTGCCTGGCGGCGACGCCCCCTCCGACGCGTCGGCCGTGGGGCCCTCCCCCCACCTTGCGTCGGCTCCCCTTCCCTTAGGTGCGCGCCTTCTTGGCGGCGATGCCGGTCGGCGAGACCGTGTTTCGCCCCTCGTCGCGCGCGGACCACCTCACCGCCACAGTCAAGCTGACGGCGCACGGGCCGCTGCTGCACGTCGACATCCTCGAGAAGGACAAGCCGTCGCCCGCGGAGCTCGGCGCGTCCCTGTGGATCGGCCGCGGCGAGATTGCCCGAGATTGCGCGCGAGGTGCGAGCCGAGGTTGGCCGAGAGTAGGCGCGTCGCTGTGGATCGGCCGCGTCGAGAGCGACGCGAGCAAGCAGGGCGACCGCTTCGACGACCTCGACGAGATCCTGTACCGCTACGTCGAGCCGCTCGTGGAGAACATGCGCGAGGTGACACACGCGCGCGCGCACACACGCGCACACGCGTGCACACGCGTGCACACACGCACACACACGCACACACGCACGCACGCACGCGCACACACGCACACGCACACGCACGCACGCGCACACACACACACGCACACACCTCACCCACGCGCACCGGATTTCGCACTTTGAGTGCGGTACCAGCGCCTGTCTGTTGGACGAGGAGCCGCGAGGGACTTGCCCGGCCCTTGCCCCCGCCACCCTCGTGTGCGTGGAGAAGTGTCCCGGACCTGTCCTCGAAGTGTCCCGGACTTGTCCTCAGGTGACGGGGCACCGCAAGTTCGCGCCGGAGCTCTCCGCCGAGGCGGTGGTCGAGCGGCTGAACCGCGAGAAGGCAAACTCGGACATGATCGCGTACGCGCTCGCGCTGTACGAGAAGGACGCGACGACGGTGGTGATCTACGTGGTGCGGGCCGAGGGGCGGAAGCACCGCGAGGCGATCAAGGTGTCGCCGGCGGGGTTCGTGTACCGCGACGTCGCCTTCAACACGCTCGAGGAGGCGATCAAGCACTTCAAGGTGGAGGCCTCCGAGCTCGAATCATATTAATTGACACCACATTCAGTAACAGCGATGATTGGCACTTTCCAGGTGGAGGCCTTCAAGCCGCGGCAGAGGCCCGCAGCGACTCACACCTCTGGCGGTGCCGGCTGGGGCGGGACTGGCGGAGTGGTCGGGGGCGGCTGGGGAGGGCAGGGCGGAGGCGGCGCCGCCGGCGGCGGCGGGGGCGGCGGAGGAGGAGGAGGCTGGGGCGGCGGGGGCGGATGGGGCGGCGGCGGAGGGGCCCCGCCGCCGCCACCTCCGGGGCGGCGGTAGCGGCCTGCGGGCGGCGCTATGCCAGGAGCGCATGTGTCCGCGCGGGGTTTTTAGGGGAAGTCGAAGTGCGAGAGACAGAGGGACGGTTCGTGCCGATGCCACGATAAGCGCTTGTGACGGTTAGCCCACACCTATCGAAGCGCGGTGGGGGCCGCCCGGAATCCGCGGGATGCGGCGCATTGCGCCCGCCCCACGGCCTGCGCTGGCTGGTTCGTGATTTCACATGGAAACAGCGAATCGCGTTCACTTTCACTTTCACTTCACATTTCATGTGAAACGAAATTTCACTTTTTCGAGCGAGTGTGAAGAGTCGTGTGAACGTGTTTAGATGACGGATGCTCCCACCGAGTTCCGACACTCTGACACTCACTCTCACTTGCACAGGTGTTGGCTCCCAAGCAGCAGCCAAGATGAAGGAGGCTGGAGATATTGGTCTCGCTGAGCGCTGATGTGTACACTAGACCTATATGAATCTCATGGCATGCTGTGGGCGAATACGGTGCTGATGGTGGGATGAACTCTCTCAGCAGTCGAGAGTCGACTCTCGACGCATCGGGAGGGCGGCCGCGGCGGTGTAGGGGCGGCGGCGAGCTCCCGGTTGCAAATACTCGCCTCACAGTCCAAGATGGCGGCTCGCGCCCCCATCCGTGCACCATCGTGCCACTCTAGTCCCGCCTGCCGCCCAGATACCGAGGGCGGGGCGCACTCTTCGACTTGGGCTATTATTTGCCACCGGGAGCGGAGGGCGGCCGCGGCGGTGTAGGGGCGGCGGCGAGCTCCCGGTTGCAAATACTCGCCTCACAGTCCAAGATGGCGGCTCGCGCCCCCATCCGTGCACCAGCGTGCCACTCTACTCCCGCCTGCCGCCCAGATACCGAGGGCGGGGCGCACTCTTCGACTTGGGCTATTATTTGCCACCGGGAGGGCGGCGGCGGCGGTGTAGGGGCGGCGGCGAGCTCCCGGTTGCAAATACTCGCCTCACAGTCCAAGATGGCGGCTCGCGCCCCCATCCGTGCACCAGCGTGCCACTCTAGTCCCGCCTGCCGCCCAGATACCGAGGGCGGGGCGCACTCTTCGACTTGGGCTATTATTTGCCACCGGGAGGGCGGCCGCGGCGGTGTAGGGGCGGCGGCGAGCTCCCGGTTGCAAATACTCGCCTCACAGTCCAAGATGGCGGCTCGCGCCCCCATCCGTGCACCAGCGTGCCACTCTAGTCCCGCCTGCCGCCCAGATACCGAGGGCGGGGCGCACTCTTCGACTTGGGCTATTATTTGCCACCGGGAGGGCGGCGGCGGCGGTGTAGGGGCGGCGGCGAGCTCCCGGTTGCAAATACTCGCCTCACAGTCCAAGATGGCGGCTCGCGCCCCCAAGCATCCATGCTCTGATGTGTCGCTTGGGTCGCCTCTGCTGCTGTGTCTCTGTCTTAGCCAGATATCGAGAGCGCGCGACGACAACCAACCCCTTACCCTAACCCTTACCCTAACCCCTAACCCTAACCCTAACCCTAACCCGAAGAACCCAAAGCGTTCACCGAGAGCTCGTGTCGACGGACCGCTGATTCCGCCATTTGGTTTCGGCCCAAACCGGACCATTCTCTTAGGAGCTGCACAACGGCTTGAACGCTCTCTGACCCTAACCCTAACCCTAACCCTAACCCTAACCCTAACGACACGGTGCTTCTTAAGAGGTCGTGCGCGTCGCTGCCGACGCATCTCGCGTGTATGGTGTATTTGCAGTGTATTTCGGCGGGGGCGCGCATTAAAAGAACATTGAGGCAACCACACACGTCCTCGAGCGCCCGAGGACACGAACCAAGCTGCACCTCCTCTCACTAGTTATTGTGGGCTCTTTCCTTTCTACACTTCCTCGCTTTCAAACACCGCGTTTTGATGCAGTGAGGGCGGGCCCCTGTTCTTTGAGCCTTGGGGACGACCACGGCCTTGACCACGGCCTCGCTGCAGGGAAGCAGGAACGCGCGGCATTGGTGGCACAGAGATCCCTACCGGTGCCGGCAGTGGTAGGCGCACCGCCGCTCTCTCCGCTGCCGCCTCCGCCGCTGCCGCCTCGACTGCTGCCGCCTCGACTGCTGCCACCTCCGGCTCCGCCGCTGCCGCCTCGGACCGTCGCTCGGAGATGCCAGAGCCTTCGAAAGTAGTCGAACTTGTGAAATTTTCAGTGAAACGGGGGCGGCCGAAACGTTTCATGTGAAATTCACATGAATTCACATGTGAAAGTGAAAGTGTGAAAATTCACTCACGAACCCTGGCTGGCTCTCGGCCTCTATTGCGCTCGCGAGCTCACCTTCCGAGTGTGTCGCCGGACTAGAGTTTGCCGTAGTTTTCTGAGTCTCTCTCGTATCGTCTTCGGCCGCGGCCGCTCCCGTGACCCCTCGCCCTCGACCGGCACCCCGGCTCCGAGTCGCCGTCTGAGGATGCCGACGGCTGCCTCATGAATGGGAGGACGGGGGACGGCGCGCCGCCACCACACAGGGATTTGAAGGAGAGGAGTATCCACGAAGATCGACACGGTGGCGGGTCCCTGCGACTTGATGAGGCGGAGAAGAGGCCCAGCATTTTGATGGAGAGGCTGAGGAAGGTTAACCTGGTTTGTGGAGCTCCCGCACCTTTCCTCGAGAGCACGGCACTGCGATTCGGGGCCAGGATGTCGGTTCCCCACCGGACTTTTTTTGTAGTGGAGAGAATTAAGGAATCTTTCTGCTGTAACCGACACTGATATCGCTCTCCTCTATTCAGACCAGATGGTGAGTCTTAACTGTAAATTACCGTCAAAAAGCTGTCAGAACGGCTGTCAGAACGCTGTCAGAACGCTGTCAAGGTTCGCTCCCCGCACAACGGCCCGGAAGTATCGTACCCTAGATCCGTGTCGGGCGCGTAATCGCATGTGTAACACCGCTCTCATCCGGTCAATGAGCCGCTTTCTCGCCTTGTCCCGGATAGCTCTTGGCCGCCGGACCGACGCCAACAGCCAGTGGCGTGAGCCCCGCCGCCCCATCATCGCCCTGTTTGAGGTCGACGTGATACCACAGCGCCGCCACCGACTTGACACCAGGCGCTGGCAGCCCCGCGTGCAGCGACAGACGATCGACCTGCCCAACACCCCCATCGAGCAAATTGTAAAACGCGACGGCGTCGCCAATCTTGGGCGCGACCGTCAGCCCATCGCGCCGCGGCAACAGCTGGCGCGCGGCGGCAAGGGCGGCGACGCGTGGCGGGTTTTGATTCTCCACGCTTGCGGCGTCTGCAGGGTCGCGCAGTGCGAGCGGGAACCACGTCTCACCGACGCCATTCAAGTACAAGAGCACAGTCAACATCCGGTGTTCCTGCTCATTGGCGTCGTAGTGCAGCTTGAACTCGCCGCCCTCGGTGTACTTGAGCACCTGCATGTTCTCAAACCTGCCTCCATTGCTCGGCGATGCTGCATTCTCGGCTAACGCTGAGGAATTGTGAACCCACTTTCAAACCGTCAAAGTGCGCTGGCGGCCCGAGCACACCGCGGGGAGGAGTTGCCAGTGCAGAGGCGGCCGCGGTTGAGCAGGCGAGCATAACGAGACTCAAGCTTGTAGTGAGCATGTTTGCTGGCCTCGTCTGTCAACCGATCGCACTCCGCAAACCGACGGTCAGGTGTTTTTAAAATGAACTGTCACGTACCGACAGGCAAGGGCGGGCGTACCGAGGACAGTGCGAGTGGGGGGGCCTTGTGGTCGATCGGACGCGTGTTAATGGAGCCGCTATTCTACAACCCACACCTGTCGGGCTGGTGGGGCGCAGCGGTACTCGACAACCCGGACTGGGAGCGACTGGCTGGAGACAAGAAACCGAAACCCAAACTCTGCCGGTGGACCAATGAAAGAGAGGAAGACGCACGAGAGGTCTACGAGCGATCGGTGCGATTTGCAGAGGTCGGGGTAACACACGTAGTGCACCCTGAGGGAGGGTGTAGAGGATGTAGAGTGTAGAGCGCTGTAGAGCTGTAGAGATGTAGAGCGCTCTGGAGCGCTGTAGAGCTGTAGAGCTCTACATCCGCCGCGGGACGAAGCGCCTCCGTTGTAGAGCGATGTAGAGCGCGATTTTGCTGTAGAGTTTGTTGTAGAGGCTCTACAGCCAAACCGCCGGGAAGGCAGTGACTCAAAGAGGTCGAGCCGCGCTAATGGGGGGTCTCCGAGCTTACTGGAGCTCTGATGGACAGCCCTGACTACAGTATCCCTGACACACAGAGAGTCACTCCGACGGCACACAACACCCTATAACTGCGTCATGACCAGCCTGCCATGTGTCGCCGGTGCCGCATTCGTCGCTGTGCTTCTTTAGCAGGCGGTGGACTGTCGGCTGCGAGGACGGTCGCATTTGCGCGAGGCGAGGAGAGCATTGTTGAGCGTTGCATGCGCCATGCCTCGCGCCAGCGCGTGCGGGAGCTCCTCGGCTAGTTCACGGGTTTCGCGGGAGTGACCCCATGCGTCAAACCCGCCATTTAGCGAGGTGGGTTGGAGGGGGCTCGCTGCAGGGAAGGGCGGTGTAAGAGGCCGATCCCCGTAGTGGTCCGCCCGACCGCCCCACTCCTCCCCATCGGGGCGCATAAGCGGCCGCGCCTGAATAGGACCGTCACTCACTCAATTTGGGGATCCTTCACGCGCTGCGCTACGCTTCGGAGTCGCTCACCCCGGGATCGCTCCTTCCCTCGCTCCGGTGATTTGGGTAACTCTGAGCTCCCTCCGCGTACGCTACGCTCCCTTCGGAGAGAGCCCCAGAGTCTTACCGCGCTCCGGATCCTCTTTAGCCCATCTCTGAGAGTTAGAGTGACTGGCTAGAGACGACGACGACGATACAGTTCATGATAAACAAACTTCAGTTTGTGCTAGTGAACTGAGGAGAAGCGGGTCGAGCCTCGGCGCAGAGGGCAGCGCCTAGCGGGCGGGAACCCTTACCCCCGCGCCCGCCGCTGCCCGCCGCTTTGTGCGCGGGACCTCCGAGCGCCACGAGGCTCCTGACACAGCTCCCGACTAGCGTCGGCTCCTGCTCAGACAGACGCCAATCGACCAGTTCTCAAGCGACCCACCACCATCCCTCATCTACCGCCCGATCGAATCGCATTCGTCTCTTGCGAGTTCCTCTTGCTCCAAGAGGTTCCAGAGAACGGGGTAACTCTGAGCTCCCTCCGCGTACGCTACGCTCCCTTCGGAGAGAGCCCCAGAGTCTTACCGCGCTCCGGATCCTCTTTAGCCCATCTCTGAGAGTTAGAGTGACTGGCTAGAGACCGACGACGATACAGTTCATTTTTTCACAACGTGCAAGTAGTACCGGAACTCGCCCGAGTCCCCGCAGCTCTAGCGATGATAGACTCGGACATCGAGGACGACGAGGACTTCGCGCGCGCGCGGGTTCTAGCCCCCGCCGTGCACGCGCCCACTGCTCCCGCAGACGCAGCGCAGCTGTCCTCCCCGCCCGCCGCACCGCCGGGCGCCGCCGACCGGAATGCGGGCCCGCGCAGCTCCGTGGTCGCAGCTCCGGTCCGGTCCGCCGCGCCCATCTCGGGTGAGAGCGAGCGAGCGAGTACGTCTTCGGTCCTCCCCCCCGTGCCTACGCCGGATGATATCGGGGAGATCGTGGGGCGAGGTGACGACGTCACGGTTCGGGAATGGCTTAGGAGCGGCGGCCAGGTCAACGCAAAGCTCGAGTTTCAAATGACGTTGCTCATGCACGCCGCCTTCGCGGGATCGGAGCGGTTGGTCGAAGTGCTGCTTCAGCACGGCGCAGACGTCAACATGCAAAACAGCGACGGCCTCACCGCGCTGATGATAGCCACCGGCATGGGCCACGAGCAGGTGGTTGATTTGCTGCTTCGGCACAGCGCACAGATAAACATGCAAAACAGCAAGGGCGCCTCCGCACTGATGCTCGCCGCCAACACCAACCGCGCAGCCACCGTTCTCCGCCTGCTGCGGGAAGGTGCAATCGCGACCGCCCGCGATGTGGACGGCAAGACCGCGCTGCAGATCGCTAAAGATGAGGGCCACGCCGAGTGCATCGCGGCCTTCAGGCAGCACGTCGCGGCGACTGCGGGTCTCTGCGAGACGGAGGCGGGAGGTGCGGGCGAAGCGGCGGCCGGGGCGAGTATTGCGGCCTCTTCCAGCTCGTTGGGCGTCCTTGGCGACACGGAAGCGCTCGCGGCTGGGCGAGGCGACGAGGCGGCGCTGAAGCGTTGGCTCGACAGCGGCGGGCAGGTCAACGCGTCTTGCGGGGATGGCGTTGTGAGCGGCCTCACTGCGCTGATGGTCGCCGCCGGCCAAGGCCACGAGGGGGCGGTCGAGCTGCTGTTGCGGCGCGGCGCGAAGGTGGACCAGCGAGAAAACGACGGCCACACTGCGCTGATGGGCGCCGCCCTTGGAGGCCACGCGCGGGTGGCCGACATGCTGATTCGGCACGGCGCGGCGTTAGACTTGCAGGACAGCACCGGTAGCACCGCGCTGCTTACCGCTGCGTACCCGGGTCACGAGCGCGTGGTCGAAGTGTTGCTCGGGCAGGGCGCGCAATCAAGTGTACAGGACTGCAACGGCACCACAGCACTGATCAGCGCCGCACATAAGGGCCACGAGCGCGTGATCGACATGCTGCTGCAGCACGGCGCGGTGCACGGCGCGGATTACGACATGCAAGACAGCGATGGCTTCACCGCGCTGATGTTTGCCGCTGCCTTTAACTTCCCCGCTATCGTGCGCCGTTTGCTTCGGGCGGGCGCGAGCTCGGCGCTACGCTCTGCGGAAGGCATGTCCGCGCTGGAGTATGCTAAGAGGAACGGCCACAGCGTTTGCGTCGACGCAATCAGGCAGCACATCGAGGAGGCGACCAAGGCGGGGCGGCTCAGGGCCGGCGGCACTTCCGCTGACGGGGGCAACGCAGTGGACGCAGACACCGCGCTGCGCTCGTTCGAAGAACTAGCCGCTACAGAGGAGGAGGTGGAGGAGGTGGAGGAAGACTCACACTGACAGGACCAGCGCATCGTCATGCACCTGGACAAGGAGCAGGAGGCGGCGGCGGAGATCAACCTCTCCGTCACCTTCCGCGGCGAGGTGGAGAGCCCCCCTCCCCCCCCCACCCCCCTGCCAGGCCACCGGCCCGTCGACGCACGAAATCTTCTTCCGACTCAAGCCGACGACCGACCTCAACCGCCTCTTCCGCATCTACGAGGCGAGACGCGCCCGAGAGAGGGGGAGGCAGCGCAGAGGTCCCGGAGCCGAGAGCGTTTGTGGAATAGGAGCGGACAAACCTGCGCGGCCTCTCCTTCTACCTTTACAAGGATAACACGGTGCTCGACGGCGCGCGCACGCCCGCCTCGTACTCGATAGTCGACTACGACGCGCTCGAGGCGCGGCACGATTTGCCGCAGCAAATCTCGGACGGGCGCACCGCGCTGCAGCTGGCCAAGGAGCAGGCGGCGGCGGCGGAGGCGAGGGAGGCGGAGAGAGCGGCGGCGGAGGCGGAGGCGGCGCGGCATGCCGACGCTCTGCTGGCGGAGGTTGAGGCGGAGGCGCAGGCCGAGGAGAGCAAGGCAGCAAAGAGGAGCAAGAAGAAGAAGAAGAAGAAGAAGAAGGGGGGCGGGGGGAGTAGTGCGGCTGGGCCGTCGCAAGAGGCTGAGGCACCGGCCGAGGATGTGGTGGCAGAAGAGGCGGAGGACGAGGACGAGGACGAGGCAGCGGCGGCGGCCGAGGAGGCGGGGCTGGCGGCGGCGCTCGAGGAGAGCGCCAGGCTGGAGGACGAGAAGCGCGCGGCGGAGGAGAGACGGGCGGCGGAGGAGCAGGCGCGTGGAGCCCGGCCGAACGCTGGTGAGCCGAGCGAGTCGGCTGCGAGCCCAGCGCCAGAGGAGCCGCCGGACGACTTCATCTGCCCCATCACGACGGAGATCATGAGCGACCCGGTGGTGGCGGCCGATGGGCAGTCGTACGAGCGGTCGGCGATCGAGCGCTGGCTCGCGACAAAGTCGACCAGCCCGCTGACAAGTGCGGAGCTCGAGAGCAAAGGGCTCTTCCCCAATCACTCGCTCCGCCGGATGATCCGGCTCTGGCAGGAGCAGAGATAGCGATTGTCGGAAGTTAGGGAGGCGGAAAGACAGTCATGAGAGATGCGGAAAGGCGAACAAGAGAGTACTTGTAAGAACTCTGAACTGCGCTGAGCTCTGTCCTCGCTGCGCTTTTTTCCGCGTGAGGCGTGTGTGAGTGTGTGCGTGGAGACTGGAGAGTGAAGGGTCTGAAGCGAGACCGCACCAACAGCAACGGGAGGGGAAGGCGAAGGGGGGGGGGCCGGGGGGGGGGGGGGGGTAAGGCAGTCGAAAAATGTTGATTCTCGCTCTGTAACTATTGATATTGATTATTGACAGCATCCCCTCTAACTATTGACAATATATTGACATATCGATCGCTGATTTTACAAGAGCACCAAATGTCGACATTTGTCCCAAACATCGGATGTTTGTTAATTTACTTAATTTACACATCGCCTAGACGTGGGCTGAAATCGAAAAAATCGCAGCGATTTTAATGCGATTTAAGCGATTTTGAAGCGATTTGGGCCCGTTTTGAACGATTTAGAGCCATTTTCAAGCCCGGGATGGACCGCCACCGCTGGATATATTGATATATGTTGAGTGCAACCTGACGGTCCTGACCAGCCCAGGCCCAGCCTCTCCTCTAACTATTGCAATATATATTGATATTGATCGCCTCTGTAACTATTGCAGCAATATATTCAATTATGATCTGGTCTCCTGGCCTGCTCGCCGCGATCGAGCAAATAGTGCGGCACAGCCAGGCCAGCAGTGAGAGGGACACTCTCACCCTCCTCCGCTGATGGGCTCGTTGGAGGCTGCGTCGCCTGCGGCACGGCTGTGCCAGTCTGCTCGTCCCACACATGCCCTGCAGCGAGACGACCGCGTCGGCGACGGAAGACGCCAGCTGCCTCCTCTGCAGCGCGCTTTACTGCGCGGCGCTCGCGCTGCTGCTCTGCTGAGAGGGGCATATGTTGGTATCACTTTTGGCGATGCCGGCGAAACGAAGAAAGGGGCCAGCGGGAAATATAAGGTAAGATTTATCGACTGCCTTAGGGGGGGGGGGGGGCAAAAATGGAGCTGTCAAACGTTAACTTTGGGCCTAACAGTTGCGCTAGTGTTGGCTGAAATCCTCAACTTTGTTCGAGTGTTCTCTCCAGCCCAAGCTGTTACTGTTTGTTACTGTTGTTACTGTTGTTCAGTGGTCAGCAAGCAGAAAATGCCGAAAAGCCCGGGTAAAATCCGCGCGGCGGCCGCCAGGGGCGTGCGCGAGACAGGGCTTGGAGCCCTTTTGCCTTTTCTGTGAGCGGGGATTCCCTTCCGGCGGGGGTTGTGGCGGAGAGCCGGCATGGGAATCGCCGGCCCCCACCCAGGGGGTGCCCCTGCCAGGCGCCGCAAGCGGTGCCCGACAGGGGCGTGTCCCCTCACCCGAGGGGTGGGGTCGGGGTCGGGGTCCAACCCTGTCGTATTGGTTGAGAAGAAAATGTGCGCGCTGGTCTATATGAGAGCAGAGGTTGAGGTGCGAGCCCTGGAGGCCCTGGGGATGGGACACGCCCGCAGGCCTCTTCACAGCCCACACCGCCGAGTTTCACGAGCACCTCTAGCCGACGCTGCTTCCGAGGCGACCGCAAAATGCTTCGCGAGTGTGTCCTCTCCCTCCTCCTCATGCAGGCTTACGCCTTTTCGAGCACGCCCTTGTCCACCACCCAAACGGCAGAGATCATGCCATTCGGCGTCGGCGACGCCAGCCTCGGCACGGTGTCCGTCACCGTCTCCGACGCCGAGCTGACGCTCCACGCGATGCTGGAAAACCTCCCCGCGAACGAGTCGGGCGGCATCCATATTCACTACGGTTCGCCCACTCCGCCATGCATGGTTGACAACACACTCGCTCTCACCCGCCCACCTCCCCTTCGCACAGGATTTGCGTGCGGCAACGAGACGACCGTCAAGGGCGACGCGCCTGCAGGCGCCAACAAGGGGCACTACTACGTGCCGTCCGACCCCGCCGTCCTTGACGCCTCGGAGGACCCCTGGGGTGCCAGCTTCTTCTCCGACGGCCAGGCCAACGCGGTGTGGCACACGCCGGCTGGATCTACCGTGGCGGACCTCACCGTGGTGCTGTCGGCTTCCGACCTGAATGTGAACCCGATGACGGCTCTGGACCGCGTTGTGATCGTGCACGCGCCCGGTGGCGCCAAGATTGGCTGCGGCGTCCTCGCCTGACCCGAGACCGCCTTCGCTCGAGCCTCGAGAAGTTGACGCCGAGTCCTGCGAGCGAGGAGCGTTGAGTCCACTCTCCACTCTCCGCGGTGAGAGCCCTCGAGGGAGACGGGCAGGAGACAGTGTACAGTCCGGCAAGATAGTGGACGGTGGTCCGGTGTACACTCATTCTTCGGGGGCGCGTGCACCACCCGCTGTTCGGCGAGCGTGTGTCTTGTTTGTGTATGTGCATCCGTCATGGCATGTTGTGCGAGTATATGGGACAAAAGCGTCGAAAATGTCCCAAAAAGCGTGTCTCGAGTTTGTTGCAGCTCCGCAGCCTGCGCGCGCTGCCGGGACGCACCACTTGCTGGATCTGTGCACTCCCAGGGAGTGCACAGATCCAACAGGAGTGAGTAGGCTCGACGCCGTACTCGAGATGGAGCTGCAGAAAGTACGCCGCCGAGCGTGCCACCGACGGCGTCCCGGCGGCGGTGATGGAGTGTGAGACCTGAGGCTGCGGAGGTGACGCCTGAGGTACCGGCCCGTGCACAGCGACTCAGCCGGCGACCGCCACGGGCTCAGACGAGACTTGTCGACTCGTTCCGGCTCAGCTTCACCGTGGTCATCGGGCGTCTGTCGACGTCAGGACCACCCATACAGCTCGCGGGTTTGAGGTCGCAAGAGCCAAGATGGTGGCGTTTGGACATCCCAACCATCACACAAGACAGCCTGTAGGTGATGGCGGGACGGCGCAGTGTTTGTGGCACTCAGCAGTAGGCACCCGCGGCACGGCCCCGCTGTCGGCTCTCGCGGGCTGCGGAACCGGCCCCAGAGGGAGCCGGTCCGGGCGAGTGTGGCAGCTCCTGCGCTAGTATGGGCACCCTCTATCATAGCACTACTGATCCTGGTCATTAGAGCTGCCAGGGATAGCGTCAGGAGCCGGTAGGAGTCAAAACCTCTCATATTTGAGACATCGTGTCCCATATACTCGCACAACGAGCCTCATCCGATTGAGACGCGGGGGGGGCCGAAAATGGTAAATGCCCGGGGTTTCCAGGTATGTTCGGTTACTACCCGCCCAACCGTTGTTCTGTTGTTACTGTTAACACTAGCAACACTGTTCAGCTCTTAACGTTTGACAGCTCTGACAAAAAGCAAAATGCAAAAAAACGTACATACGCGGGGTGTGGAGGGTGAGTACTGAGTTGACCAAGGGGTTGTGCGCCGGGCCCTCCTGCTCTGCTGCAGCCGGTAGACAAGTCTTGTCATCAACAGAGTAGATGGATCTGACCTCGGGACTGATGTGACCAAGCGCTGGTAGCGTGGTTTTACCTCACACCCATGGTCTCACAGTGTGCCGGCAGTCGCCGAGCAGTGTCGCTCACACAAGCCGCAGCACAAGTGACTGAGGGCCAGTGAGGGCGAGCCCATCGCTGTCACAGCTGTGGCAGCCGCACAGTAGGCTGTGTCAACTGTGCAGAGTGTGTGAGCAGCAGAGGAGCTGCTCTCCAGGCTTCTGTCGCAAAGAGCTGCATGCCACCGAAAGCGCTGTCGAGGTTCGCCGAGCGTGGCGCAGGTTGGAGGACACCGTCACCGACGAGCGCGTTGGACTTTTCACTCCGGACAAAGACCGCTGCACAGCGGATGGTATGGGCCGTGCAGCGGTCAGAGCGGCGAGGCGCGGGACCGTCTGTGGCGAGGTGGGTCGCGTCCTCCGATTTCCGTCAACCCAGCATCCACACCCTTTAGCGGCGAGAGAGAAGATTAGGACCGGAGGCCCTGCGCCGCACGCCTGCTCGGACCTCGGTGCAGTTTCGACGCGCTACGTGGTGATATTTTGCGTGCCATGAGTGACGTGTCGAGCGGACCGTGTTCAGACGCTCTCTGACGCTCTGTCTCTGTCTCTCTCCAGCCCCTTGGAGAGTGTGAAGGCGTCGTAGCCCTCCGGTCTACTATGAAGACCCGCAGGGCTGGAGCGAAAAGAAAGCAAGCGCGTACTTGGAGTTTTGTCTCTCTCTCTCTCCTTTCGTCTCGGTGCTGATGTTTTATTTCGTGGTATCCCATGGTCTCGGCTATCGAGCATCCCAAACAACATGCGTGACATCATTCGTCTCTCTCTTCCTCTCCCTCCTTTGTAACAAAGCCTTTGAGGAATTTTGACTCTGTCTGTTGTGTCGGCAGCACTGGATGACTGACCTAGCGTGGTTTGAAGCAAACTACTTTTAGCTGGATGACTGTGATGCATGCGCCAGGCGCTGAGCATGCTGGCGCTCATTGCTTGCACGCTGCGAGTCGCCGACGCACGCTGCACTGCGTTCTTCCTCGAGAACCTCGGAGCTGCGCTTTTTTTCTGAGAGCGCCTTCGTCGTTGCCTTCGTTGTTAATAAAAACCTCACTAGCGGTCCCCTTGCTCCCCTCCCCCCCTCGGGAGGGCCGAACTGAGGCGCCCGTGGGGACCCCGCAATTCCCTTCCCCCCTCGGAGGGGGCCGGACGGAGGCGTACCCCGAGGGCCCCGCTCTTTCCTTCACATAGCGGCCACTCTTCGGATCGCTGGTCGAGCGACCCGGGGGATGCCCCGCGCGCCTGACCCAGGCGCGAGAAACGAATCTGCGAGGCGTGGCCGCTTATGCGGCCCGATGGGGAGGAGCGGGGCGGACTACGGGGATCGGCATCTTACACGGCCCTTCCTTGCAGCGAGCCCACTCCAACCCACCCGCGCTAGGTCTCGGGGGACGCAGGGGTCAGCCCCGCGCGACCTCGGGAACTAGCCGGGGCAGTCGGAGAAGGGGCAACTCCGTGCACTGACGGTCGGCCGTCAGAAACCACGCCTGCGTGGGTCGCGTCACACCAACCCTCGCTACCCAACGCGGCCAAAGGATATCCACCTCGAGAACCTCGAGCTGTCACAGAGACATCGCTCGAGCTCCAATACTTGATCGGGTAGGCTCTTGCCCGAGAGGCCCAAGCCGAGCGCCTCCGCCGCGCTACGGGCCGTCGCCACCAAGTTGCGCCCCGGCTCCAAGGGGAAAAGAATCAAATAAATAAATAGCTGGTCTGTTGAGGATGAGGTCACAAAAACAACAACTCGATGAGGTCGAGGTCCGTGAGTTTCTGCACATCTCATCAAACAACTGTTGTGTGACATCTGTCTCTATCAGCGCTCTCCTTTGCGGAATTTTGTCTCTGTGTTGGCTGGCAGCACTGGATGACTGACTAGCGTGGTTTGCAAACACAGCACTTGGCTGAATGACTGTGGTGCATGCGCCTTGGCGCTGAGCATGCCGGCGCTCATTGCTTGCACGCTGCGAGTCGCCGACACACGCTGCACTGCATTTGAGGACCTCTTTGATGAGGACCTCTTGCCTCTGAGGACCTCTTGAAGGATGAGGACCTCTTCGTCGTCTGCGGCTCGTCCAGCGGCTCGATGCGGCACGTCGATCGTTTCAAACCCAGAGAGGGCAACCACCTGCTACCCCGTGCTCTACAGTCAGAACTGACATGACAAGCCGCCGAGGACGGCGAGAGAGACAGAGGTAGAGCGCAAGATCCAAGAAGGTCCTCACTCGCAGGTGTAAGAGGTCCTCACGGACACGGAGGTCCTCACGCGCAGTCCTCACGGAGGCGGCCAGGACCTCCCCACGAGCACATTGGTAGAGGTTGATCCGACCCGACCCCCCCCCCCCCCCCTCTGACCCAAACGCTGCCTGCCGACCTGACCTCCGTTTTTGTGCCTGTGGTGCTGGCGAACCAAAAGGCAAGGAACACGCAGCAGAGGTCGGAAATCCCATTGATTGATAGAAGATATCGTTGATTGTGCTGGACTCAGCAGCTAGGAGGTTTGCGTTGTATGGGCCATCTCCATCAGTCGCCTCTTCGTCGTCTGCGGCTCGATGAGGCACGTCGATCCATCGTTTCAAACCCAGAGACTGAGGGCAAACACCTGCTAGCTACCCCGTGCATCGCCAGAATCAGAACACATGACAAGCCGCCGAGTTGGCCACGCGCGCGTCCTTTTTCTTTTATCTTGGACGCCGTACCATGATCACCTTCGTATTCGCGACGCTGGCGCCACCACCTCTCCTCGCCGATTGCCACACCGACCGCTCCATCGGAGTCACCTCCTGCGTGCGGCGACTCGGCTCGGCTCGGCTGGTCTGCGTCGTTGCGGCGCCTGACCGTGACACATGCTCGCGTAGCAGCTGCGCGTCCTTCTGCGCTTGGAGAGACGGCGGCATCTGGCTGACGCGTGGTGGCGCCGCCGTCGCCGAGCCGCCCTGTGGGCAGCGCTGCCCCGGCGCCACAGCCGCCGCGGACGCAGCAGCGGCGCTGCCAGCTGCAATTGGCAAAGCCACGGCGGAGAGGCGCTCGCTCGCCTGGTACAGAAAAGAGCCGAAGTGGGCCGGCGGCGTTGTCCGCTGGTTCTACCCGACGGCCGCCCAGATGGAGAGTCTTGGCATCCGAATCGATGTCGATGGCAATCCTACCGGCCAATGGGCTGCGGAGGAGGCCGGGGTTGGCCACTTCCGCGCCGTGGTGGAGTCTGCGATGGCGAGCATCATGGAGCGGACCTGCGTCTGCTTTCTCGAGGTGGACCCGGACGAGACAAACACGAGCTCGCCAAGGTACATTGATCTTCAAAGCGACACCGCTCGGATCGTCATCTCGGGCATGGGAAATATTATTGGCGCCTCGGCGAGCACCTGCGCGGGCGCAGCAACCGTGGGCGCCCACCCGACGACTGGTACGACAAGTCGAGAGGAATCCTGCGGTCCTCGGCCATTGACCTCACATGGGGCTGCGGCGGCGGGGGCCCACCGGCGCTGTTCAAGAAGGCCGTCGTTATCCACGAGCTGATGCATAGCCTCGGAACGATGCACGAGCACCAGCGCCCCAACCGCGACGACTACATAGACGTCCAGAACATACCGACAGAGTATGCTGGCCAGTTCACAAAGTTCGATGAGCAGGACTATGAAAACGCCGTGGGCGAGGCGGCATGGGCGGCCGAGTGGGATTGGTTTTCCATCATGCTCTACTCGTCCTACACGTTTGCGGTTCCGGGTGGCGATCCGGTGATGCTGACCAAGAATGGCAACCAAAACGTCTCCGACGGCGACGGCGGCTATCGGGTTGTGAGCGCCGGGTCCGAGTTTGGCTCCAACAGCGTCCTGTCGCCCAAGGACATCGCGCGCATTCGGGCCCTCTACGGGTGCGGCGCCGTCGCCTCCTGCGCCGGGTACGCCCCGCCGCCGCAGTGCAGGGATGCGGTGACGAGGGGCGATTGCGTCGCTCTCTCTTCCCGCGCAGAGAGCCCCTGCCGCTGGGATGGGGGCGCTCGCAACGGTATGGGGCAGTGCGGCGAGTGCGCGGATGCTGGCTGGGATCTGGATGCCTGGACCGTCAGTAACGGCGACCTCATCGGTTGCGCGTGGCTCGCCGAAGCCGGCGGCCGGTTGGGCTTGCCATATATAAACTTGGAGGGGAGCCGCCGCTTCTCATGCGACTACCCCGGTTCGGGCACTGGAGGCGAGCGTGGCTAGTCACACATCTCGGCAAATCTCATCTCGGCTTTATCTCGGCTATGATTCAGCTCTGACTCGGCCATATCTCGGCTATGTCAGGCAAGCGCGCGGCTGAGGCGTGCTGCGCGTGCGGCGGCGGCAAGGCGTCGACAGACGACTACGCGCCGCCGCCATCCTCGTACGACTACGCGCCGCCAGACTTGCCGCAGCCGCCGCTGTTGCCACCGAGGGACCCGCTCCTGCCGCCTCCGCCAACCCCGATGCCGCCGCCGCCGTCGCCGTCTCTTCCGCCATCCTCCCCCCCGCCATCCTCCCCCTCGAGCGAGCCGCCGTTCGTCATTTGGAGCGGCGAGTGGTGGTCCAAGGTTGCGTGGGTCTCGGTCCGCCGCTTCTTCTCGGGCGAGAGCCACGGCGATATGAGGTGGGTGGCGGTGGGCGGCACCGTCGGCCTGGCCACCCTCTTCGCCGTTGGCTGCTGCGTCATCTGCCGCCGACGCTCTAAGGCGCGTGGGCGGAGTAGAGTAGCAAAGAATAAGCAACATCTTTGTGGGTTGCTGCACTATACCTGCCCATACAACTATGTACCGCAGGCGCGCCGGTCCGCTGCGCGCACGGAAGCGATCTTTCAGCCATGGGCGTCGTCGTCGCCGAGAGCCCCCTCCTCGCGCCTCTCCGCCTCCTCTCCCCGAGGCCTTCAGCTTGGGGCGCCGCAGGCAGGGCCGCTGAGGCAAGCGAGCCGCCTCGAGGTGTGACGGACGGTGAATCAAGGTACGGCGAGTCGCCTGTACAGTCAGAATCCCAAGAGCGGACCCGTTCCCAGCGCGGCTCTCTCGCCTGTCGCTCGCTTCTTGTACATTTTGCAGTCCAGTGTTTTCAACGAGAGTGTTTCTCAACGAACGAGCGTCAGCCATAGACATAAATAAATAAATAAATAAAAACGGACACCTCTCTACTGTGAGATGGGTAAAAAGGAACAGCCATAGATAGCAATATCCCAGCCTCAGTAGTTTGTTCATGCGCGGCAGTGTGCGGTGATTAAAGCCGTAAGGCCGTAACGTACGGCTCTACTCTAGCTCTAGCTGGCTTCGGTAATCTCGAGTGCGCAACTGATTTTCCCCAAAGGACATATGATGAAAGGGCGCAGAGACCTGCTCTACTAAAGGGAGAAGATTCGCGCCGTTGCAACTGCCATGTCGGCTGGTCGGCGGCTGCAGCTCTCGCCTCGCTGGCGGCGCGGTCTAGTGCCGCGGCTCCCAACTCTCCTGCGGGCTCGCGGCGGCTCGCCGCCGCGTTTCTGAACAATATGATCGGTCCGGGTTCGTCCCGGCGTGCCGCCAGTGCCGCTTCTTCGCCGAAAGTTTCCTCAACCTGTTTGTCGACAAAGTTGTGCCCGAGCTCCTGCTGCACGACTGCGCGGTGGAACCGGCCCCTCGCGGCTGAGACGTGATGCGCCGGCACCGGGGCTACAGCGCGGGACCATTCCCGGGCCGTCTCGGGCAAGCTCAAAATCTAGTTTCATGACCTCGACATCCTGTGCTGCTATTTGACCTCAACCTCGCGGCCCGCTGCGCGGCTCTTTGAGCGCGAGAGGCGTCGTCTACGAGGCGGCGGCGAGCGCTGGCGGCGGCGGCGCGGCGGCGCGGCGGCGGATCGCGGCGCAGACAACGGCAGCAATCTGCGGCAGACACGCACACACGCCTACCATACCACTCACACCGCCGCCGCACTCTCGGGGGCGGGCAGCGGCGGCGGAGGAGAAGCTACGGCGGGTGACGACGCGGAGACGGCGCTGAGGGAGCGGCGACCGCGGCGCGTCCGACGGGAGGCGGCGCAGCTGCGGCGCCGGCGGCTACCGCAGACTCGGCTCGACAGCAGCTGCATGGCTAAGCCTCCCCTCCCCTCCCCTCCTCCCCGCCCGCCCGCCCGACCCGCCCCGCCCCCTCTCCTCGCCCGCGCACTGGCCACCGCCCTTCCTCGGCTAGCGTATAGGTACTCTCGAGGGGGGAGGGGAAACGTTGGGCGCGCGCCACTGCGCTCGCCTTTCCCGAGGCCCCTCCACCCTCACTACTCGCTGCCTACTCGCTGCCTCGAGGGAGGGGGGGAAGAGGGCGGGCGTGCTTGCGCGCCTACGCCGCGAGGCCCCTCCCCGAAAGGCAAGTATTAGCCACACGAAACCCGAGAGGACGCCGAGACCCCTCCCCCCCGCCCCGATCCCCCCACCCCCTTGCTCCCCTCCCCCCCTCGGGAGGGCCGAACTGAGGCGCCCGTGGGGACCCCGCAATTCCCTTCCCCCCTCGGAGGAGGCCGGAGGAGGCGTACCCCGAGGGCCCCACTCTTTCCTTCGCATAGCGGCCACTCTTCGGATCGCTGGTCGAGCGACCCGGGGGATGCCCCGCGCGCCTGACCCGACTGGGTCCAGCCCTGGGTGGCGCAAGATCTGACGTTCTGTATCTGAAAGTATAGAGATGAGAGTGAGCCCCATCCCCCAATATTAGCCCCACTCGCGCAGCCCCCTGTACTTTAGTATCTAGAATTAGAGTGTGGAGACCGCTTACTTGCGCTCACTTACAAATTTTAACGCTCCACGACGCCACAACCACTTTTGCACTCCTGTTGCAGTATCTGGGCGGGGTTTGGAGCGTGCAACGCCGCAGACCCCCCTCTGCCCACACTGGGCCTCTCCCTGCTGTTGCTCTAGCTGCGCCAGCCGCCACTCTTCACTCCACCGTGTGCAGCCGCGCGCGGCGCCACTTTCCGCCAAGCGCGAGCCAGTCGAGCCGGCCTACAGGGACGGACCCGAGAAGGTTCCACCAAGGCTTCAGGACTGCCCACGGCGGAGAGCCGAGAGCCACGCCGTCGAACAGAGCCAGCGGCAGGCCCGCGTACTGCAGTGTCGCTCCCTCGATGGTCGCCGTGAGGATCACGCCTGGCGACCGGCCTTTCAGTTCACCCACTTTATGTTGCGGCGGTCGTTGAGAGCGGGGGGGAGAGAGAGCGCACGGGCGGTCTGGTCTAGCCATATCCGCCAATCTCGACGAGTCTCGCCGTTCATCTCGGCAGATCTCGGCAGATCTCGGCAGATCTCGGCAGATCTCGGCAGATCTCGGCAGATCTCGGCGGATCTCGATGCAGATCTCGCGCCGCGGAAGGGCCCGTCGTGTGGCTTGAGCAGGCTGAGGCCGGAGCGCGAGTTGAACCTAAGCAGCCGTGGTGTACTCGCCATTCAACGCGCACACTGGCTCACAGACGGAGAGCTGGGGCCGGAGTGCGAGACGCACTTGAGGTAGGTGGCCAGCGGCCCCGGCGCCTGCTCCACAGGGGTCGAGGTGTGGTGTGTGTGAAGGGACATGCGCGGCGCGGATCTAGGCAAGTCGCAAACGGCCCCCACACACCGTGGCGCCGCCGGCCCCCGCGCTGCCAAGTCCGCCCAAGGCACCGCCGCCGCCGCCGCCGCCGCCGCTCTCGACCGCCACCCTTGCCGCCGTGTCGAGGAGCGGGGAGGAGAGGGAGAGGGTGCCCTCCTGAGGCAGCAGGTAGGGTAGGGGAAGGTAAGGTACACCTCTCCACACACACGAGGTGGTGGGGCAAGGGCCTCGGACGCGACATCACGGCATTCAATGTGCAAGGCCCAATGCGCGTGGGTGAGGTGTGCTCTCTCTCTCTCTCTCTCTCTCTCTCTCTCTCTCTCTCTCTCTCTCTCTCTCTCTCTCTCTCTCTCTCTCTCTCTCTCTCTCTCTCTCTCTCTCTCTCTCTCTCTCTCTCTCTCTCTCTCTCTCTCTCTCTCTCTCTCTGTGTGTGTGTGTGTGTGTGTGTGTGTGTGTGTGTGTGTGTGTGTGTGTGTGT